TATTTAATTATTAAAAAGTAGCCTTATAATAGCCTATTCAAATTAAATGAAATACCAGTATTTCAATTTCTTAAAAATAAAATTGAAATTATAACCTCTGTTTTATTGCAGACTTATATACATTAAGTATTTCTCAAATACCAGAGTACTTCACACTTTAGCAAACATCCATTTTCAGGTGTGTATACATATATTCTGTACATCTTCACACTTGAAAGTTTCCATAATCTTGAATATATATTGTTCTAATTCAAATGCCCTGATTCAAAGACTATTCTGTTGTTGTTTGTCCTCTATTGAACAAAAATGTTTTTCCAAACAACATGAATTATATTTGTATTGTTTTGATTTAATGATGTATCTAATCATTCATATTTCTTATTCATACTTCCAATCATTAGACAGCTTTCAGTCCTTAATGTTGATCATATTGAGCCATATGAACAACAAGCATATCTTATTCTTGTAAAATTTAAAGGAAATCCTTTTAGCCATATGAATAAAAATAGAAGCAAAACTTTATACTTTATGAGCATGAAGCAAATGCTTTTGAATGAAGGTTTTGCTTAAATAATAATTTTTCCATATGAATAAAAGTAAGCATTTATTTTGAATTATAAGCATATCCTTCAAAACAGATTTATCTAGTTAGACATAGACTCAACTGCAAGAAGTGTGGTTTGTTTTTGCTTTTATCTAGGTTTATTTTCTGTTAATATTTAACCATGGCTGAAGTAGTTAAATGATAAATAAACAAGCTGTTAAGGAGGATTGTTCCCTCCTCCAAAGTTTATAATATTTAACCTCCTTTAGAGGTTAAATGTTATAAACTTTGTTCCTCTCCACAAGTCTGTGATTTCAAGATGTTATTTAAGTTTGAAGAATAAAGGGTTGAATGGTTGGTGCACAATTTTTTAGGAGTGACGACTGAATCATACAGTGGTGTACTAACTTCTTTACAAAAAAATGAAAATATGTTTAAGATATTTAGCTGATCCTGCATTCGAAAAAGGCACAGGAGAACTTGTTGCAGAGAAGTCAACAGTGTCACGAACTGTGAGCAATGTTGTGGAGAAAATACTTCAGGCTGATTGTTGAATAAAATTTCCTACAACAGATCATTCTGTCTTGGAAGCAAAACAGCTATGACAAAATAAATACTACTTTCCAACTGCACTCACATAGGAATAAAAAAACCTAGACTTCATGGAGATGAGTACATTAATTGAAAAGGAAAACTTACATTAAACAAACAAGCTACTTATGATGCAAGATGCATGTTCACTAGCATTGAAATTAGTTGGATATCTACACTAATTAACAAAGGCCAACACATACAATTAATATGAATTGAATACAGCTAATAAAATAGAACATAGGGACGAGATTAAATGTGTCATTATCTGCATGTCAAGAATCTTTTACTCTTTTACCAGAAGCATTTGCTCAGAGGTAAAAGGTAACATTATTGATACCAAACAGAGGAAATGCTTTTGCTTCTATCTTTTGCTTGAAGTATTTACTTTATCTTATGCTTATTAGCATTTCCTTCATTTTTATTCATATAGGCCAAAGGTCAGCAACCTTTTGAGTCGGAAGAGCCAAAATTACAATTTACAAAATTTCAAAGTTTTTAGAGCTACAAAATTTTTTCTTGCCAACAATAAATAGTACTCGCATACAAAAAGTTTTTTGATAAAAAAAACTAATCTATTTATTCATAAGAAAAAATATCTATTTATTCATATATAAGTAGTGTTTTTCACAACAAATTAGATAATAGAAACATCCGACGACGGCATCATTCGAGAGCTTCCGACGGACTGACGACAGTGACGACGCGTGTCACGGGGGAGGGGTGCCGTGAAAAGCGAGTACAGGTAGCTGAGAGATAGAATCAGTGCCTAATCCTCGTTAATCGATTCAGAATGATTTTTAATTTTTTTTTGATAAAATAAATAATATTTGCATATGGAACTAAAGAGCCGCAGCTTCACATCCAAAGAGCCACAAGCCACATGCGGCTCGCGAGCCGCAGGTTGCCGACCCCTGGTATAGGCCATTATTTTTCAGACTTTCATATATTTATTCTTTTTGACAATCAATACTTCCTCTCTAATTTCCATTGTATCTTTACTTCTTTTCTCCATTCTTCTCAACTAACAAGTAAGTGCAATATAATTTTTCTGCTGTTCCTTAATATCCTTTTATGTTCTTATATTCTAGTGATTACAGATAAACTTATAGCTCCAACATATAACTTCTACCCTCTCTTAAATGTGATATCATATACACCTGCTTATTATTTTCTGTTTTAATTCACTTCATCAATCCTTATATCTGAAAATATTCTGTATTTTGCTTGAAGAGGAACAGAAAATGTGGCAAGACTGAAAATTCTTTACTTGTCAGAACCTGTAATATTGGGAATAATTGTGCTTATGCTGTCTTAATTTTTAACCATGCCCGGTAGCTTTATGCATAAGTACAAGTGTGACACACATCATTAGTACTCCATATAAATATGTAAGAATCTATTTGAAATGTTTATGTATTCTTTAAAGAACTAGATAACTTNTCTTAACGATCCAAAACGAACCAAAACTAACGTTTTCGAACCCTTATAACGGTTCTTCTTCAGGTTTTTTCGAATCTCCGATGGAAAATGCAGCTTGTAAAAACTTTAAATTCGAAATATGTAAGTTCGAATGCACGTTTTCCGTTTCCGTTGTTGTATGTCATGCGCAGTCGACTCCAAAATGAGCTATCATAAATTACTATTCATAAACGCTAGCCACACCGTTGATAACATAATCTCTTCTTTATAATTGATGCATTGATTATCCTTAAGGTTAGCTAAGTATATGCTGGCTGCCTCTAGCCATCTGATATAGTGTACGTGCCGTGTGGTGAGGATAATTCTTGCTTTCTTAAACACGGGGTCTCTATCTAGGAACACGACGGCCCTAGCAGTATATGCTTCCGATCCAGATATAGACCCCGAATTTAAGAAAGCAAGAATTATCCGCACCGCACGGCACGTACACCATATCAGATGGCTAGAGGCGGCCAGCATATACTTAGCTAACCTTAAGGATAATCAATGCATCAATTATAAAGAAGAGATTACGTTATCAACAGCGTGGCTAGCGTTTATGAATAGTAATTTATGATAGCCCGTTTGGAGTCGACTGCGCATGACATACAACGACGGAAACGGGAAACGTGCATTCGAACTTACATATTTCGAATTTAAAGTTTTNGCTAACCTTAAGGATAATCAATGCATCAATTATAAAGAAGAGATTACGTTATCAACAGCGTGGCTAGCGTTTATGAATAGTAATTTATGATAGCTCATTTTGGAGTCGACTGCGCATGACATACAACGACGGAAACGGGAAACGTGCATTCGAACTTACATATTTTGAATTTAAAGTTTTTACGAGCTGCATTTTCCATCGGAGATTCGAAAAAACCTGAAGAAGAACCGTTATAAGGGTTCGAAAACGTTAGTTTTGGTTCGTTTTGGATCGTTAAGAGTTAGTAGACGCACCGGTAACAGGTTAGAAAGAAATAATTATATAGTTACTATGGTTAATTATAAAAACAATTACCTATCAACACAGTTAACTAACCCACTTATACAGTATAAAACAGACAGATATGACAGCTAGGCAAACAAGATTTAATTCCTTGTTACCAGAAACAAGAAATAAATTCTGTTTGATCATTTTCATAAACCATAGATTTTTCAGAAAAACTAATAAGAACAATCTATCAGTTTATCATTTTACTAATTGAAATCCATCATAAATTAAATGATAAATCTAATAAAAGTAAACTAAAAAATAATGGAAACTGATAATATTTTAAGATATTTTCCTAGTGATCCTTACAGTTAATCTTTCTCACAATTTATCATTTACTTATTTGTCATGATTTATTTGTTAATTTTTTTTTCTGTAACCAATATTATATTAATAATCTTAATTTCAGCAAAGTTACAAATATTTAAGTTTATGCAAACTATATTTAAAAATTCTTTAATCTCTCTTCATTATCATATATCTGAATGATGATAAAGCAGCATTAAACAAGAGATTTTATATATATATATAAATACATACATACATAATGAGAATATGAGAATAGAATGAAATAAACTAAATTTGTTACAAGAACAGAATGATCTGAAGAATCCAAACAAATTTCCTAACAAATATAAATTATCTTGCATAATTAAATTTTCAATCTTTTTGACAAATTCAAGACATAATTTTGTAACATTTAAATTGGCAATATTGTCAGTTTCAGATAAAATCCAAGAAGTAACAAAATTTTCTATTAGAATATGTTTAGCATTTGAATTAAGAAAGGGTAAAGCAAAGTGGTGCAAGGACATAGCTCTAACAAAAATGTGGAAAAGTGAAAAAAAAAATAGAATATATTGGGAATTTGATTTTATTCATAAATGAACAAAGCAATCTTCATTGGCATGCAAGGTTTCGTTAATTTTGCATAACTAAAGAAGTGGTGTCCAGTCATCGTATCAATCGAAGAGAGTTGCCGATTGAAAACAGACACGTAGTAACTTAGTTTCTCGACATAACAGAATGGAGGGCAGTCAAACCGATCAAGAACATTTTTAACCCATTGTACACCAATGGAATCTCCCTGAAATAAGTCAAGCAGGTGCTACTGTAAGAAAAATATAAACCATGTCAAATGCAAAATACTAAGAATTTTACTATAAAATTTTTTGCCCAATGACTTACTTAAAAAACTTTTAAATAGAAATTTACATAAGTTTTAATTCATATTTTGTTGAAAATGATTAATAATTATCAAAATAATCTGAAATATTTAAGTAATTAAAAAGATGTAAATCAAAGCTGAGGTTTATCAAATGAAGAGCTCCATAAAATGGAATGTGATTTTAATATTTACATTAATTTTCTTTAATTAAAGAGCATGCATAAAGTTAATTGATTACATACCACTTTCATCATTTGGCAAATTGGAAGGGATAGGAATTGAAGAAGCATCTCCTATAAAATCTTCTTCCATGATAACTTTACCAGACATTATATATTCATTTAATAATAGTACAATAACTGGTTATAAAGACAGTGACTAGCGCTAGTAGTTTATGTTAAATTCATATTTAACCTCACACTCAGCTCGTGGCCTATCGGAGTTAGCAATGTTGCCAGCTTAAATTATTATTACAGTATTATCGTTGCTTACAAGATAAGAGCGGCTATCGCATTTCGGGAACGAGCAGGGAGACAAAACGGTTTCTCGCGGTGGCCGGCAGGGGCGCTACTATACCCCGAAGCCTGAACGTTGCAACGGATAGAAAAAGTTCCCTAGTGCTTCGTATTAGGATTTCTCAAACGGGATCCCGGGATTCCGGTTGTTTTTTTAACCCGGGAAATCCCGAAAATTTCTTAAAAATTCACTTTTTTCTTATTTTGTGTTAAGGTTGAGGAAATTTTGCAAATACAAAGTATAATTAACTCATAAACTGTCAGAATACATTTGTATTTATTAATTTTAAACCTACTTATTAGTTTTTTTAAATTTTTGCTAGTTATGGCATGTTACAAACGGTCAATAATCAATAAGTGGCTTATTTGTGGCAAGACTCTGAAAATTCTTTACTTGTCAGAACCTGTAACATCTGTCTTAATTTTTAACCATGCCCGGTAGCTTCAATAACTGCATAACGCCAGGTTGTGCAAATTGGGCAATGATACAAACGAGTATGAAGTCTGCAAGTATGAAGTTTTCTTCATAAACCTGATTATTAAAGACAAACGAACTGACGAATTATTGGGCTATAAGCATAATGTTTCTATTTTATTAAAGCAGCCAAGGTAGACAAATCAAGAATAATAGAGAGCAAAAAAAGTACAGTAAAACCACGCTTAACACTGCCTCGCTTAACGCTGATTCGATATAACGCCATCTGCTCGAAGCCTAAAAAAAAGCTCAAAATTTACGCTGATTTAAATTATCGCGGCATTTATTGATTCGTACATAATACGATTATTTACGAACCAATCAGAAAAAGGTGGAAAAAAGGCGTACTTTCTTTAAATCTATGTTTGTTTGATGCAATTTTGGAAAAAATATAACATCATGGATGCCATGGACAATATCGGCTTCGCTTGGCAAGAATTAACTGATAAATGCACGAACAAAGTGTGGAAGAAGTTATGATTCAAGATATCCAAAAATTCTCAACGAACTTCTGTATCGTTAGGTTCATCAAACTCAACCTAATCGATACAGCAGGGCTAGGAGATGTAGACGAACAGGATATTGAGGAGTTACCGCAAGTATTTGGTGACAGTCATATCAACGACGACCTTCAAGAACTGGCAGAACAAGGAATCTATGTAGAACTGGAAAATAATGATTCTGAAAACGAAGAACCCAAAAAATTTCTCTACAGATTTCCTTAGTAAAAGTATGGTAATGATAACCGAAATCGTTGATCAAATTGTAGCGAATGATCTAGATTTTGAAAGGAGTGCAAAAGCAAAACGAGGCGCTTTGGATGCGATCTTCTGCTACCGAAATTTGATTAAGGAAAGATTAAAACGACAAATGAAACTTTCCGACTTTATTGCAAAAAGAAAAAAAAAGTATTTCAGAAAAGTCAGGACTTTCGTCAGAAAAAAATGAACTATTAATATAAAAAACAATGAACTAATTAATATATTATTATACATTTCTGTGCGCATATGTTTGTTATTTAACATATATTATTATACAAATTAATATAAAAATAACTTAAAATTAAAGTAAATTTTTTTTTTATTTTCGGTCGCGTGTTCCCCTATCCCTATTTACTCTATGTTAAAATGACCTCGTTTAACGCTGTTTTGTTTAGCGCTTTGTCGTCTAGGAACGCATCCCCCACGTTAAGCGGGGTCTTACTATACTACACTAGAAATCTTCCAGGCTACAAGCGAAAAAACACATGACGTGTTTAAGGCATTTCAGAGAAGACAGAATTCCACTCACATCAATTGAATCGGAAAGGGCATTCTCGGAACAGGACTTTTCATTACTAAAATAAGAATCAAATTGAGTAATCGGAGTATTGACTATCTTTGCTTTTTAAAATCTTATTATAAAAATTTACAATAATATTTTGTATTATGTTTTATTTAAATAACGAAAATTACCTTCTAACTTAGAAGTTTGATTGAAGTTCATTTTTTTTAATTTTCAAGTCAATTCAGAGCAGGTTTCTTTTGTTGTTGATGTTGTATGCAGTTTCCAGCAAACTTTAATAAATTTTTTTTCTATTTGTGAAAATTTCTACGTAATTCAAAGGTAATTTTTAATACAGTGAAAACTGCTTAGGCGACCACCTGCATTTGAAGGGCACCTGTCAAAACGGGCAAAAATTTCTGGCACGGAATAGTTTATCCATAGAGTCTTCGAATAAATTACCTGTATTAAACGACCACCTGTGTAACGCGACCGCGGGCATCGATTTTTGGTCCGAAACAACATACAACACCTGTAATAAGCGACCACTTTCGCGAATGTATCTGGTCTAAACTATTGTAAGAACCCATCTCAACAACGTTTCCACCTCCTAATATAATGAATTAGTCTAAACTCTCGTTCGAACCCATCCCGGGCACTTCTCCCACCCTCGAAATTAGGTGCAGGTGTTAATAAATTAGTCTAGCAACAAAGGAAATTCATTTCAGTTTGTTGGAAAATGTCCGAAATGCAAAGTGCTGTCGTTAGAAGATCGTATTAAAGTTATCACAACAGCAATTAGCGGCGAAGTTTAACTGTGGGAAAACAAAATTTATTTTACCCTAGACCTACAGTATTTTCCTTGGGGGTGTAAAATATTGTACACGATACAATTAATCGGCTGATCTCATCGTTTGATAAAATCTATTTTTATTTATTTATTTTGAAGCTCATATACAGTACACGTGCGATAAATAGTTTCTGTATCAACCTACCTTATTTCCACGATATTTTTAGAAAAATAATATCCAAGTAATTTTCGCAGGCAAAATATTCAAAAAACAATAAACGCATTAATGCAAAAATCAGTTTTACTTCCTTTTTCGATTCCGCGATTGTAATGAAATCGTATACTGTAATGAGAAAAAATAATAAAATCGTTTTATTTTTAATTAATAATTTTTCTTATCGTACTTAATTAATTAAGAAAATATTTAAAAAATACAGTATTTTTAAAGTTGAAATAAGATTAAACTAACGAAAATCAAAAGCAAAGTGATGGAGAGATAGGAAGCGCTTGTATATTGATGACATAATACACGTAACTGTGGAGCGAACGAAAAGAACCGAGTCGAATTAATTAAGACGGAAAAAAGAAAGTGTGCGTTATAATCGAGAAAATGCGAGTATTGTATTAATCTTTAAAATATTGGTGTTAAATTTGCCTTATAATATCATGACGACTCCTGTAAATCGGGTTATCCGATAAGAATAAAATACAATACCCTATCGTTGAAAAAATTCGCTTATTTTTGCTCACCTCGAGTTTTGCTTAGTAGAAATGGCTAAAAAGTGCGCAAAATACGTGCGGAAATACGGTATTACATCACCACCTGTATTGGACGATCACCTGTCTAAAAGACCACTTTTTGAAGAAACCGTGGGTGGTCGCCATAGACAGGTTTTACTGTATATATCTTACACAGCATTATTAATATGATTTTGGAAGTTGCAGAACGTATTAAATTACTTTAAAAAACGAAAAATATTTATATCATTTGATTTCAAGATATTTTGTTTATCTTAAAAATAATTAATTCTATCCCGGGATCCCGGGAAGCAGTTCACTTTTGTCCCTGAATCTCAGACAAGCAAAAGACAGGGAAATGAGAAACCCTACTTCGTATATATTGTTGCTTACGAGTAACGCTCGTATATGTTTAATCTGATTTATACGAGAGAAAATGTGCAACAGGATTACGTACTAAATGCATAAATTCTGTTGAGCTAGGTAAAATTATGCAGTCCGGACATGGGAATGCCGTCCGTGCCGGGGGTGGAGTTTCTAGTCTTTTGGATGGCCACATTCAACTACTGATTCGAGAAGGGAGAATTGTAGTCGGTCAGGCCGGTCGACGCATTAGCGTTAGGAGGAAGGCGGATGTCTAACTTTTAAGATGATTTCAGTAGAATGCGGAATAAAGTGATGTGCAAATGCTTCTGCTTGGTTGTATAGGTCCGTTATTACATCGCCGTTGGTTTTGAGAATGAAGTGGTCCGGCGGAGTGGAGGCGGTCATGCGTAGCTGGTGGATGATTTTCCAGACGTTGATTTTATAATGAAGAGTGCTGGCCATATGTTTCCAGTAATCGCGCTTGCTATCTAAAATGGTCTGTTGTAGCGCAGATTTGGCGTGTTTGTAAGCCATCCAGTTCGTTGCGTTAATGTTTTTTGTAAATTTATAGTACAGTACATGTGTCGCTTGCGAGCCAGTTTTTTCCTGCATTCGCTGGTTCACCAAGGCGGAGCGGGGTGATTACTGTGGGGAACAAACTCGATGCTGGTCGCTGATCGAGTTTGGTACTGGTTAACAAGATTCTCGTACGTCCAGTTGTTGCCATCAGGCCAATTATGATTGTTTTGGGAATATGCAGGATTCATGGCGATAGTGAATGACGATTTTGGGAGGAACGACGACCTTTAATTGTGGGGAAGTCGATGGAGATCATACGGTGCCTACTATCATGACTGAAGAATAGAGTCCAATAGGCATGTGTAGCGACCGAGGTAGATACGAGGGTCATATCGATTGTCGTGTTATGGTTGTTGAGGTTGTAATGAGTGCTTTGACCGTTATTGAGGGAAACTAGATCGGAGCAGGTAATCAGATGGACAATTCTGCGACCTCTGAAGTCATTGCTGATGTTGCCCCACGTATCATGTTGCGCGTTAAAGTCGCCACAGATGATAGAAGGGACGAGGGGGGAGAGAGAGTAAATAGGTTGTCGAGATGAGAGTTTAAGTTGCAGGCAGTAGTCTGGGGAGGGAAATAGGCGTTTATGAGCCGGACGGAAAGGGAGTGTAGATGGTTAAGATGATCCACTCGGGGTCATCGGGGAGATGGCACTATTTAATATTACCGAGGGTTCAGGTAGGTATTTATGGACGTAGGTGATGAGACCGTCACCTTTATTAAGGTGCTGTATGTGTGGTAAGCGTTTTAACCTGGTAAATCTAGTGTATGAGTTGGTTGTAACCATGATTCCTGGAT